CAATGGTTATCATTAATGTCACTCCCTGTCCCTTTTCCTTTCATTTGACTTGTCTGGCAAATTCAAAACTGTGGTTGAATTAAAGTATTTGTAAAACCTCAACCCTGCACTGAGCACCTGAAAATCGTGGACAGGTCTCACTTGAGATTTATGACCACAAATTTCAAAAGGGCTCTGATAACCCTACTACATTTCCTATATGCTTGCTGTTTCACATTGCCTTCAGGTTTTTCATGTGCCTTACTCTTCCTCAGTTAATAAATTTTAGAAAATACTTCACTTGAGTAAAATACAAACTCTTAGCCAGAAGCCATCTCATTTCCCCCTCTAGGCACCTTCCATTCTTTGCCATGCCTCCTATCATAATAAAAAAACATCTCTACCCCCAGTCAATCCTAAAGGAAATCAACCCTGAATATTCACTGGATGGACTGATGCTGAAGCTCCAATATTTTAGCCACCAGATGGCCACCTGATTCATTGGAAGACTCTGATGCTGGGCAAGATTGAAGGCAGGAGGAGAAGGGGATGACAGAGAATGAGATGGTTGGATGGCATCACCAACTCAATGGACATTAGTTTGAACAAACTGTGGGAGATGATGAAGGACAGGGAAGCCTGGCATGCTGCAGCCCATGGGGTCACAAAGAGTCAGACATGACTTAGCAACTAAACAACAACAACCCCTAGAAAAGAACTATTTCTCTAACCTTCTCCAAGGCGTCACTCCTTCTTTTTTTTCTCTATTTCAGAAGTCTTTCCTGGATTATTATCATAACAATTATCATCTCTTATCTTAAAATAAAATAAAGCAAAACAATACTTCATCTGATCCTATTTCCTAAAGGCTACCCATCTCTACTCCAATTATCTATAAATGTAACCTTCACACCCTTATTTCATTCAATGAATAATACTTCTCCCTCCACTACTCCACAGACCTCTCATTGCCACAACTAATGGCATCAACAAAACTAGTTCCTTCTTTTTGTATCTTCTCCACTTGGTTTCCATGATGTCACTCGGATTTCCTCCTATATCACCAGTCACACTTTAAAGCCTCCTTTTGTGGTTCTTCCTCCTCCACCAGACCTCTAAATACTAGACCACCTAGGGCTCCATCTTGGTCTCTTCTCCTCTATCGCTATTCCTCATTGAGTCCACCCAGTCTTTGGGTCTTGAAAGATAAATCTACTTGCCAATAACTCCCAACTCTACGTCGCAAGCCCTTAACACTCCTGAATCCACATCTGCATTATCTAACTACCTAGTTGACATTTCCACTAAGATAATAGTCATCTCAAAGTCAACACTTCCAAAACAGATCCCTTCATTCTGCCACCTTTCCCTTCATAAATCCTTCCTTCAGGAAAGCTTATCAGCTCTGTGTGAAAAATATAATCAGAACCTGATTCCTTCTAATCAACTCTATAGCCCTAATTCAAAACATCATCTTCTATCATCTGAAATATAACCTGTTTCTATTCCTACTCCTCCCTTCACTCTCAACTCAGCAGTCAGATCGTGTCACATTTCTTCTCAAACCTGTAAATAATTTTGCCTATCACAGAATAAAAGCCAAAGCTTTGTAACAGTCTGGAGTATAATGTGGTACATTCAATTATTTTTCCAAAATATTCACTCCTTTGCCACCATCTCCACCTCTCCCAATGGAGTGCACTATTCTACCTCTGTCTCTGAGCTCAATCATGTGACATCAACAGACATGATGCAATCAATCAAAGGCTTGAAGATGTTTTTGCAAGTGGACCTGCTCTCTTACATCTCTGTCATGAGAAACAGTTAGGACTAGTCTGCTGGTCCCAGGAAAAGGAAGAGAGATACAAGCAATAGAGCTGCTTCATCTAAGCCTAGTTTAGATCAGCTGACCCCAAACCAGACTTCTATGGATGTAAGCAAGCCCCACTGAGATTAGTAGAGCTGTCTAGATAAGCCCAGCCTAGATCTGACTCATAGGCATGAGCTAAATAAACAGTTACCATATGCTTTTGAGTTTGTGGTGGTTATGTGACAGAAACTGGTAGTCTGTAAGATGTGACCCCTGTTAACTATCTGATCTTCACTACCTTATCCCCAACTCTTTTCCAACCACACTGGCCTCTGCTATTTTTCAACTACACCAAGCAGCCTCCTTCCTCAGTATCATCGCCCTTACTTAATATCTCACATCAAGATATCCAAGGCTTCTAATACTTCCCTGTATACCCACATACCAATGGAATATTAAAGATGAACCTTGAAAACATTATACTAAGTGAAGGAAGTCAGTCAAAAAGATCACATCTTCTTTCTGACCCTCAAATATGGCAAGCTCACGGATTTGACTATTTTCTGTCCCTAAATACTCTTTTTCCTTATCTTCATAACAGATTTCCTCTTGTCATCCAGATTTCAGCTTACAAGTCTTCCCCTCAGAGCCCTTCCCTTGATTTCCCAATCTAAAGTGGCTATCCAGCCACATGTGTCATCTCTCTGTTAGGTCTAATTCTGTCACATATTCATTTAATTCACTCGTTCATTCAACAAGCGTGAATGCTTTGTACGCACCAAGCACTTCTGAGTATACTGAGTAAGACTCAAAATTCCTGCCCTCATGTAACCTATAATCCAGTGGAGAGGGGACAAATAATGTTGGCAGGGACTTAAATTATGGAGAAAATTTAGAGTAAGAGAATGAAAAGTTATTGGGATGAGGAAAAGGCTATTTCCTATAAGACTAGTCATCAGGCTCTTTACTATGCAGACTGCCAAGTAGAGGCCTGAAGAAAGTCAGAGCGGGTCGAATCTGGGGTGTGGTGAGGGAATGTCAAGAAAAGAATAACTTGAGATTCAAGCCTGTAGGCTTGGAATATAACTGTACTAAATAAAATGGAGACAAGAAAGGAAATTTGTTCATTTTCCCCTCAGCGGAAGTGATCCGATTTAAAGCTACTATGAGTTTGGGGTGTCAGTGCAACAGCCAATTAAGGATGTCCAGCAGGCTGGTGAGCACACAGAACTAAAACCAAGGATCTTAGGGCTAGACGTAGATTCAGGAGTCAGCCCCTGAGAAGTGAAAGATGAGCTTGTAAAAAGAGATGACATTTCCAAAGGACTAGAAGGAAGAAGAGTGCTAACAACTAAGTCTTAGGGAATTCAACAAAATATTTATAAAATGTTATAAATATTGACATTCTGATATTATTTTTACTGATAGTTCCGATATGCATTTTTTGTGCCTAAATCTGCCTTCCTTTCTTCAGCCTCAGCAGAATGCATGTGGCCTCGTCTGTCTTATTCACTGCCACAATCTCACGTACCTGAAAGAGTACCAAGAATGTAGTAGGCCCTTGTCCTTAGGAAATCTATAATGAAAAAGTAAATGTGTGCCTTCCTCGTTCAGCATTCATTGTTAAGAAAATAACCAAGAGTAAGCAACCTGCAATCTCTTAGGACATCAGAATTTCCATCTCTGGTGAGTTCCTTTAAAAAAAGTGTCCACATATTTTCCCAACATTATATTGGGCACCTGAAATGTATTTCTAATTTCACTGTAGATAGATCCTTAAAATGGAAACACAGTAACTGCAAGGAAGACAAAACGGACATCCCTGCATTAATGTCTATATAAAAAACATCAGACTTAGCTTGCAGCTGACGGGTTTTTTACTTTCCAGAGCCTTTTGCTCCAGATGGGATAGGTGAGGTAAATCTGGGTGTGTTCAGGCTGAAGGACTAGGACAGCACTGCTATCCTTTTCCAGCTGCATGGCTTGTGCTATTCCTTTGAAATGATACTCATTTCCTTAAGCTCTGGTATGCTGAGTCAAATTGTGTTATGTTTTCCTCTGTCGCTGAAAAAAAAAAAGAACAGCTCTTATTAAGATTAGAAATGTTGAGATGTACAGACATTAAAACAGAAAAGTGTTCCTTTTCTTATTTGGTAAATATTTTGCTTTTGAAAACATCAGTAACTAATCACAGCTGTTTCCTTTTGTTACAAATGCATCCAATCAGGTAAAACTCCAAATGAAACACACAATCCAACGAATTCATTCCATTATACAGTACAATGGGAGCCTTAAGCCTTGTGAAATACATGTATTAAGTATGCATGTATTCATCAAATCAAACAAAGAAGCTAATGGGTCTCTGATTAGTGTTCTAACTCTATTATGATGATGCCTGAATCTCACCCTGACTCATCTAAAACATGTGAACAAAATGCTATTAAGTTTGATAGACAGTCTGTTACACGCCATCACCATTCTGGTTAAATATCCCAAACTGAATTTTGGCTGGAATCTCTCTCTTGAACATCAGGGGCAAAGAGCGAGCTGCTATTAAGCTGAGGTACTCTTCTATTTTAACCTCAATAGTTTGTAAATCTTTATGCCAAAACTAAAACAAACATTAATCAAAATTAATCTCACCTAGGATTCATAAAAGATCATGTTTTCAAAGACATTGTTACATGGACATTACCAAGGCTCATTCAATCCAAAATTAGGTATTCAGAAAACTAGGTAAATAGCAAATCAATTTTTATTTAATATTTTAAAAATACATTTTGTGGCAATTATAAATAAATTTCTAACATAATGATAAATTGATACTTTGAACCAACAACAGGGCCACAAATTCATTTCCAAATGCAAAGCAGTTACCCTATGTTTAGGGACAGTTCATATTAATGCATAATTTTGTTTTGAAGAAAAAAATGATTGTTACAATCAGGTATATAATCACTTAGTTACACCTAAGTTCTATCGGTCAAAAATATATTCTTTTAGAAAATCCATTTTAAACACCTTATACTTTTTTTCGGTGATCTTCTATAAGCAATGTGAGAAGTGCCCCTTGATGGACAGAACTCAGGAACTGGTTTGACCACACCTAAATTATACTGATATCTATAATACAGGCCTCCAAGGGACAGTCCAGCTCCAACTTGTGAAGCAGGCCCAGTTCAGAATGTTGAACAAACAACAGTATTAATCATCAAAAATTAACAACTTTAGGTATTTTTGTTTTGGGTTTCTGTGGTTTAGGCACATCCAAAATTTCTTCATAGTCTGCACTCATTCCCTTTGCCCAGCGACCAACTGTGACCATTTGATCTGTAAAGACACAGAAAACTCAAAATGTAAGAAAGACAGTGATCAAATACACCCACCTAGATTGATTGGTACTGGTTTACCAAAGGAACTAGTTTTGACATGCATAATCACAAAGAGAGAAGAGTCCATCACTAAAGCAAAGTGAGCAATTCCGTAATTGATTATAACCCTTGATTTCAGAGTACATGGGCAATTTGTCATCCCAATTAGGGAAATGCAGCAACTGCTTTGCAATGCACAAGTTGATGAGAAAGCTCTTTCATTCTTTCCCAGAGTTCATCATTATAGAGTCAATGAATTCCAAGAGACTGTAAACAGCAAGAGTTACGAAGCATCAGTTTTAAATGCACAAGATTCCACCTGTGAAATTATACAACATCTGCTTGTCAGTCTTGTCATTTGGGAAGTGGCAATCCTCCCAGGAGGGAGAATTCAAATTTCACTTCTCATTTCAATCTCACTGCCTACAATGTAGTAAAGACTATCTTCTTCTAGACAACACTCTAGACAAGACTCTAAACAAGAACTCTTGGTTTTCAAATTCAAATGCTAGGGGTAGGAAGTAAGAATGGGCAGACTTATCTGAATAGTACTATGACCATTTGGTATAGAAAGAAATGTGCTTTTTCTCCAAGAAGCACTTCTGGGCTATCCTACTGTCTTACCTCCTTTCATACAGATTATCACCATTCTAATCTAGGCAAACTAATGTAACAATGGTCTCCACATCCCCCAATATCTGTTTTAGGTTTGTTAAACATTTATGAAGTTTTAGATGACCAAGGGGAGTATTTTTTAGGAAGAAAATATAAACTGGCCAGATACTATGTGGATTACACAATTTAAATATTTCTGGAAGTTTTTGCAACCAACTTGGAATCCTTCTGACTTCAGAACCTACATGAGGATTCTCAATCATAACAATACTGCAACTTATTCTCATATTTCTTATTTTCTTAGCAAATTTTTAAGTAACACAATTGACTGTATTATTAAACACGTAAGTTAGCAAATGTAAATATTTATGAATAAGATGCTTTATAAAATCAGGGTCCTCTGGGGCTTGCTGATCATTTTTTCCCACCCGAGAACAGCAGCTAATGCTCACTTGGTACTGCTGATAAAGAAGTGATGAAGTCATCACTGTAACAGGAAACCAGACAGCCTTAAAACCAGCTGTACCTCAGGGAGTTGTTAATAACAAAAATTCAACAAAAACACAGAGGAATATTCAATCTCACCCCTTCTAAAGGAGGCCCAGAGATCTCACCTGAGTTCTGACTTTTGGGACAATCTTTCTTCAAATGTTCGACAGAGCCACAAAGTCTGCAGCCACCACCTAAAAAAAGAACAGAGTCACTGAAAACCTCTGATACTTACATAGGATACTTAATGTCTCAAAGCACTTTCATATCTTATTTGGTCCTCATAACCTTTTTAGATGCAAAGGTAGCTGAAGCCAGGAACAACTTATTCCTATTAATAAATATATTCTCCATTCCTCTTAACCTCATAGAGCACTAAACTGTTATCAACCCACCATTTCTTGCCCCTGACCTTCAAGGGAGATGTGGGAAAGAGAAGTGAGATATGATGGAAGGTACTTGTTCTCTGGAGTGTCCAGGAGCCACTGCCTGGAAGCCAGGGTCTTAAACCACAGTTAGAAAGGCATGGGCTCATGAACTCTGAAAAATTTGCGTGCAGATGCATTTTTTGAGGAGAATGTCCACAGTTTTTAAACAGATTCTTTAATGATCAATGCCCTCTTCCCCCAAAAAAGGATACAAACCACTGCCCTGCTATACAAGTCAGATGGGGTGAGTAGCTACAAAAGGAATGAAATTAACTTTATATCAGTGCCTTTATCTGCCAGGCATCCAAACTCTAGAAAAAATGCCTATTTGCCTACTTTAAGCAACATTCCAGGACTGTGAATTACAACACAGTCCTAAAATGAGTTTTTCTAAAATGAATCTTTCACTGAATAGTCAAACACTATTGCTTAATGGTCGAGCATTATCATGATCATGTTAATATTAAATGACTTACTCAGAAAAATGACCTTCACAGGGTATAAACTTGGATGAACTCACCCTTTTCTGTGACTTACTCCCCTTGCCACACTTTTTATATCTAGTCATTTTGGTTCACCATACAAAGGCTTCTTTGCTCAGTAGTCATATTATATGGCCTGTATTAAGTTCAAAACTGAAAGACACTTCTGAGCATCTTTCAGGTCCAAGACTCTTTACTGCTGTAGATGCCATAGTGAAACAGAGGAGGCACTTTAATAATTATTCTAATCCTCATAACTCTTTACAGTAAAATATCATAATTCATCAAATCTAAGACACCACTGATTATAAGATATATCATTATTTTACCTTCCTTTCTGGAAAAAAAAAATGCCTATTATGTAACACCCACCAATATTAAGATACATTGAGTTCAGATATATTAAAATGTGAAAAAAAATGCACCTTAGAATCAATGAAGTACAATTTTCTCATCTCCATTTCACAGGTGACGAAACTGAGATGAGAGAAGTTAAATAACTTGGCCAAAGTCCCACAGTTAATGAGTGGTAGTTCTGAGTCTATAACTAGTGTTAACTCCAAAGCTATGCTTTTTCATTGGACTTCTGCAAGGGAACCCAGGACATGACACAGGAAGTGTCTAGAACCTAATGGTACCAGCATCACATTAATAAATGACTCACATTAACAGATGCCAACCTCTTCCTTAAAGATTTAAACATCACAGACTTTACTGTGGGCACCTTAAGACATTAGCTGTGCCAAAGGTAAGAATGTTACACGGCCCATGCCAGACAATAAACTAAGGAAAAACAAAAATCCAGAATAGTGAGTACCAACCCTTCTACCCAAAATATTATGCTACACTGAGATTAAATTCACCACACTATTTTTTAAATCTTATATTAGTTTGAGAAATAATCTTTTTGCTTGTTAGGTTTAAAAGTAGATATTTATAACTATTCTCACAACTGATACTGAAGTAAGTACAAATAGTTTGAAATATAGAGGTCAGTTTGATTTGATGTATCAACTTAAATTACACAAAGTCTAGTACACAGAATGTGTGCTCAGTTGCTCAGTAGTGTCCGACTCTTTGTGAGCCCATGGACTGCAGCCTGCCAGGCTCCTCTGTCCATGGAGATTCTCCGGGCAAGAATACTGGAGCGGGTTGCAATTTCCTTCTCCAGGGGATCTTCCCAACCAAGGATCGAACCCCATTTCCCATGTCTCCTTTACTGCAGGCGGATTCCTTACCTCTAAGTCACCACAGGATAATGCTTGATAAAAATATGAAATTCTAGAGATTTTGCCACTTATTCAGGAATTTATTTAAAAACTGTTTAAATGTAAATTAAATCACAACTGCATGATGACTCACCACCATTTTCAACATACAAGAGTAACGGTACTCACCATCAGCATAGAGTCCTTTGGGATTATCAGGACAAGATCTGGACAGATGCCCCATTTCCCCACAAACAAAACATTTTGCAAAAGGAAATTCACCTGTAATGATCAACAGTTCCTGTTTAGTTATATATACATATGGATGTGTGTGTATATATATATCGACATAGATACAGATATATCTATCTATATCTATCTATCTATATAGTGTAATTCATATTATTTTAAAACACTGAGAAGAAAACATATTTATTGTTACCTAATTTAAAGTTCAATCACATTTGATTTCAAAATTTTAAGTGACACATTCATAACAAACTCTGTCAGCAATGAAAAAACCAGTTGGTTACTTACTGGCCACTTTGCTCATTAACCAAATAAAAAAATTTGATAGGAAAAACAACAACAACAACATACCAAGAGCTGGGTCTACTTTAGCCTTGCACTTGGTTATTTCATGCTCTGTGGATCCACACCTGTAACAAATTCCCGTGCCCATTTCTTGATTCTCAAGGGCAGCAGGGCAATCTGCAATCCCATGGCCAGGTTGTCTACAATGGAAACATACCTGAGAAAACAAAACGTGAGTTTCCACACTGCAACACTACACTGGCTTTATTAATTCTAGTCATCAAGAAAACAATCCCATTTTAAAGTTGTCTAGTTCTGTTTTTTGAACTCTCAGTATTTCATCTGTATAAAAAAGTGTTTCACATTCTCCTAAACCGCGAGAAACCATCATTTTCATCAGAGGGTTTCAGTACTTTTGAAAATCCTGAATTCATAAATCTATCAGTCTAGGAGACAAAGTTTAAATCTTTGTAGAAGGTAATTGCTTAAATGAATTAAGCAAATATGGACTTATTATACTTTACTTCATTAATGGAAAAACTGAGTTTTCTGGAGGAGACAGGCAATGACCATAAAAATTAGCACTTAAAATTAATACCGTCACTTTTTAAAGTTCACATAATAGAATGAATTTCAGTCAAGTGATTCCATTTAAGTTGTATTTCAAATCATAAGATATATTTCATACCAAAAATTATACTTTACAATTTTTATATCTTTTATACATGTTCCTTAATATTTATAAACAAAGGCTTCATTTTAGAATATATGCACATTTTAAAGGTATAATTCTACAGTGAATTATTTGCCTCCACCATAACACTGAACAATAGTTTCATTGCTTTACATACTACCTAGCAATTTGGAGGATTTTTTTTGCTGCAATGAATAAGAGTATCAGTCATAATCAAAGATGGTAGATATTTAAAACATTTTATTTAAACTGGAACCAGTTTTTGGATAAAATAGCTCATCATTTTTTAATTAACAATTAAGAACCGATGCTTAGTCTGAGATACTAAGAAAAGTAAGAAAATGAATTGAAGGGTCTCAACAAGCCTTAGAGTATTAAAGCATATGCTTTACTATAAAGAACATTTTTTGTTTTGAAAAACAATGTCTTTCCCCCTAATTAAAAACATAAATTTTCTCTTAAAGTCATAATACTAAACTTTTTCAAAATGTATGTAATTCATCACACTATGTCAAAGAAATTATCTTTAAATTTTAAAAAAATATTTATGTATTTGGTTGTGCTGGGTCTTAACTGTAGCTCTCGAGATCTTCGATCTTCCTTGCAGCCTGCAGAATCTTTAGCTGGGCATGTGGGATGTAGTTCCCTGATCAGGGATCAAACCTCAAACCTGGGGCCCCCTGCATTGATACGTGGAGTCTTAACCACTGGACCACCAGGAAGGTCCTAGAATTATCTTAAAATTATCTTCATGTTAAATTAACTTGACTTTAAAATACTTTAAAATAACTGCATAATTTAAACAAGACTATCTTGATCCAAATAGAAATGATTGTCTTTTCTATCCCAATTTATTCATAAGGAATATTTTATCAGTATTAGCTTATAAAAGAATCTTACAAAAGACTCTTTAAATAAGACACTGCATAAAAATAACCCTGCAAATAGAAGCCACATTTATGGAAGCTGCAACATTTCAAGCCTACATTGGTGCAAACAATGCTCTACATTTAGTAAGTCTATTAAAAAATAAAACTGTAAAATAGCAACAAATCTTGATTCTTATGCATTATCCTGCTAGAAGAATCCCTTGCTAGAGAAGGGAAAGAATTATACCAGTATTTCATTTCCTGTGTCTGAAACAGTTTAAAATCTAGGTCTTGGGAATGCAGAAATAAACGTGCAGTCTCAGCATTCTTCTCAGTGTAACACGGGGAAGGAGGGACACAATGAGCAGGGAGAATCTCAAGGAGTTTTTGCTCTATTACTCTGCTCTGTTACTAACTGTTACTCTGTTACTAACCAGTGAAACACATTATATTTTCTTCCTGTGCATCAGTTTTTCATGGATAAAGATAAAAGGACATCCCTTCCAACTAACAGGAACCACACATATCTAACCTGTTGTACTTAACTTTCTCACTTACTTTGATCTTTTTTCAAAAAATGGCCATGTGAAAAAGGGCTACTGGAAGGGGTAAGAACATAGGTCTTAAAGTCAGACTGGGTTTAGGTATCTTTTTTTTCCCCTCTGGCTGGACTGCATAGAGTTAGCAGCTCATTTAGGTTCACATTTATTTAATAACACATATAGTGTGCTAGGCACTAATCTAAGTACTCAGATATTAACACCTTTTCTTGGGTTTGAATTTCTCCTCTGCTAGTTGCTAAAAGGCTTTTACCAAGGTAATTAACCTATTTGCACACTGGTGTTTTCTACCCAAAATATGGAAATAATGCCACCATCTTTGTTTTGTTGTGATAATTGATCACTACATCAAGTGTCTAGCATATACAAGGTGCTAAACAAAAATCCTAGAGTTACTACTAGCCCTCAAAAAGATGCCATCTAAGTCTAGCACACAACCACAATCTCTGTGGCTAAATATGTATGTGTGCATATGAATAAGTTTGCTAAAATATGTATGTGTGCATATGAATAAGTTTCCAACCATACAACGTAACATTGTGATAGAAGTGATAATCTTACCATTGCATTTTTCTTTGCTGCTTGTCTTTTTAATCGTCTTCCTTCCCGGCGACTATCTTTCTTTAAAGCAACTTCAATTTCTTCCCTTACTTTCTGACTGTCTGTTGCTATCACCTCACCATTGTGAAGCATCTGTGTGTTTTGTCTTAAATATTCCATGAATCCATTCACATCTTCATTTAAATACTCCTTTTTCTTTTTATTCTTTTTGTGTTTTGCTTGGGGGGCATCATTTTTAAGGGACAGCCTATTGGCTTCAAGTTGTTTACTCTTTGGAAGATTCTGGCTTTGTCCCTCAGAGGACCCCTTCTTCATGTCCTCCCATGATGTTGCGGGAAAGGGCCTTTTGTTCTGTGAGGAAGTGACTCGTGCCCACCTGGTCATAGCGTCATCGGAGTGTATCAGTCTTGAAGATAAGCATGGCCAGTTAGTCATCATTTCAAAGAAAAAAATAAAACTAAAGATATACGCTATATCACTATATCAACGATGCCCATATGTTGAGTGTTGATTATTATAAGACTTTTTAACTTAACTTAGAGTCTATATATTTAATTCTATAACACGCTGCACAGACATACCTGCAATGTAAATCTAGCCCTTGCCAGAGAAGCTACCACTCCAATTAAAAAAAAAAAAGCTACAATTAAAAAACAAACACAGATATAAATACTTGCTTCAAACTGGAAAACAATTCAGCAAAAAACCAAATTATTTCCAAAATGAAATCACATGGTAATAATAAATTAAGTTACTTTTCCCAAATTTTGCAGTTTTCTTAGTTTATTTGCCTATCTCCAAGTCCCAGGTCTACTTTCTTCCAATCTTTTTGCACAATCTGCCCTTTCATCACAAATAATTTGTACAGTAAATTAGTAAGTATACACAAATCCTGTCCTTAAGCATGAAGTTGTCATTACAACTCCTTCCGTAAGATTGATAAGCAAAATATATTCGTTTACAGTCACATGATAATACCGAGCCTTCCTCTTGTTTTTTTATTTCTAATTAGAGGATAATTACTTTACAATGTTGTGATGGTTTTTGCCATACATCAAAATAAATGGATCACAGGTATACATATGTCCCCTCCCTCCTGAACTTCCTTCCCACCTCCCAACCCCTCCCTCCCCTCTAGATTGTCACACAGTACCATTTCGGGTTCCCTGCTTCACACAGCAAGCGTCCACTGGTTATTTATTTTACATATGGTAATGTATATGTTTAAATGCTATTCTCGCAAATCATCCCACCTTCTTCTTCCCCTACTGTATCCAAAAGTCTGTTCTTTATATCTGTGTCTCCTGTAGTCAGAGTATAAGCTACTTCCAACCCAGCTGTTTCACATCGTTTCCGACTATTAGCACGCCCCCTTCTAGGGCAGCATCCCCTGCACTAACCAGTGTTAAAACCTCAGCTTCGGCCACAACATCCCTTCAACACAAGCTGTGGGAAGGAGCCAATAAACAGGCGTGGAACTCTGCACGCCACTTTACACCACACAAGCACACTCGTCGATGCAGATCCTGTGGCTGTCACAGTGGGGAATGGGGCCGTTCAAGGGGAGATGGATGATCCTTCTCCTGAGAACAAGGAACTGGAGGAGTTCTCAGTATCCAGTCGGTCGCGTCCATTCCGCCCGACCGGCCCCAGTGAGGCTGGACACGCCGGCCCAAGCGGCTAGCGCCCTACAGCTGAGACAGATCCCGCCGCGAAGCGCGGTGCTTCAGCCTCACCTGGCTCTGGGGGCCCTCGGGGACCTAGCCGCCAGTTCCTGCGCCCTCCCGCCGGGCCCCAGGGAACGAGGAGAAGATCCTACCACCTTACTCTCTCACGCGCAGCTTCTTGCCACGCAAGGATCTCCCAGAGCAGCAGAGTTAGCAGGCCAGAGAAACCCGTCCCCCTGCGGCGGCGGCGGCGACACCGCGACCGGAAGCACGTCGACCCTGCAGCGCGTCACTTCCGGCGAGCAATTGGCTCACTAGCAGAGGCGTCCGTGTCTGGCGCTGCAGTGTACCTCAGCACTGGGGAAAGTGGCTAATTAGTAAATGTGGAGGGCGCAGTGTTTGAAGGGCACGCGCTGGGCGCCGGGGACACGAAGATGAAGAGTGTACGATCTGTGCTTTGCAGAACGCAAGGCATAGTGGGGGCGACGAATGAGAGGATTCGTGGCGATGGGAGAGGCCCAAAAGGCTTCCCTAAGAAGTGCTCTTTGTACTGGACTTCATTCGTAAAATTATGGAATTGGTGGCGAGAGGGACTTAACGTTTTCCTTTGTTGTTGTTCGGTCGCGTCTGACTCTTTGCTACCCCGTGGACCACAGCACGCCAGGCGTCCCTGTCCTTCACTATCTCCGGAAGTTTGCTCAAACTCATGACCATTGAGTAGGTGATGTCATCCAGCCATTTCATCCTCTATCGTCCCTTTCTCCTCCTGCCTTCAATCTTTTCCAGCATCAGGCTCTTTTCCAGCGAGGCAGCTCTTAGCATCAGGTGGCCGAAGTATTGGAGCTTCAGCTTTAGCACCAGTCCTTCCAATGAATATTCAGGGTTGATTCCCTTTAGGATTGAGTGGTTTGAGCTCCTTGCTTGTCCAAGAGACTCTCAGGAGTCTTCTCCAACACCATAGTTCAAAAGCATCAGTTCTTCAGTGCTCAGCCTTGTTTATTGTCCAGTTCTCACATAGGTACATGACTACTGGGAAAATCATAGCTTTGATTATACAGACCTTTGTAGGCGAAGTAATGTCTCTGCCTGTTAATATACTGTCTAGGTTTGTCATAACTTTTCTTCCAAGGAACAAACGTCTTGTAATTTCATGGTTTCAGTCACCATCTGCAGTGATTTTGGAGCCCGAGAAAATAAAATCTGCCATTGTTTCCATTGTTTCTCCATCAATTTGCCATGAAGTGATGGAACCAGATGCCATGATCTTCGTTTTTTGAATGTTGACTTTTAAGCCAGCTTTTTCACTCTCCTTCACCTTCATCAAGAGGCTCTTTAATTACTCTTTGCTTTCTGCCACAAAGGTGGTGTCATCTGCATATCTGAGATTATTAACATTTCTCCTGGCAATCTTGATTCCAGCTTGTGCTTCATCTAGCTGGGTATCTTGGATGAGATACTCTGCATATAAATTAAATAAGCAGGGTGATAGAGAAGTACATGCCCTTTGGCATGTCTGGCCTCTCCCACACCTTGAGTATTCCCAACCTCCAGGAGTGGGCCTTTGGCAGCCATGTTTATATCATGTGACTAACTCCTCACAGCTGATTGGGCCAGGACCAGGCACCTGTGATCGAAAGTGTTCCAATCTGAGACTTGTGCCTGAGATCAGGACATGCAGTCACAGGATATTACGTTTTCCTAAGCAGCAGTAAAGTAAAACTATTAGCACAGTGGGAATGGATCACTATAATAGAAAAAGGACATTTGGGGCCCTATTAGGTGGAGGTGGCTCAGAGTAAGGAAGCTTCCAGCAGTGCAGGAGACCTGTTTCCACCCCTGGTTTGGGAATATCCCCTGGAGAATTCCATGGACAAAGGAGCCTGGTGGCTACAGTTCATGGGGTCAAAAAGAGTTGGACATGACTGAGTGATGAACTTTCACTTTTTACTGGGTGGAGGTGGCGCCCCATAGTCCTAAACAATGCTATTTAAGCGTTCAATTGAAATACCACCATATGGAGTCAAAGAAGGTCTGTCTTCAAGAGAGAAACCTTAGTCTGAGCAACTATCTCCACAACCCCCTTCCTTCGCTACAGAAAAACAAATGGCTACCACCAGTGTTTGTACTTGGTGGGAAAATTGGCAATCTGCTCAGCTGACCAGGACAACTGCGCCCATCCCCATCATCACACTCAATCTGTTTCACATCTTAAATTCTTAAATAGCTATTCTTTTTATCACTGCTGCTACCTCCTTTGTTCCAGCTTTTATCGTGAATCAGTGGCAGCTGATCTGGGCATCTGTTCTTGCTCCACTCCCTCAAATCCATTTTCCATGCTTTAGCAAAGCAAACTTTTGAAATGTAAATCAGATTGTTGCTCTCCCACTTTAAACCCTTCTGTAGTTTCCCACTGTTCTTAAGATGAAATTCAAACTCCCTAAGATGAAATGCAAACTCATTAAGGAGATGCTTCACTGACAACTCAGTTGGTGAAGAATCCGCCTGCAATGCAGGGGACCCCGGTTTGATTCCTGGGTCGGGTTTGATTCCTGGGTCAGGAAGATCCCCTGGAGATGGGATAGGCTACCCACTCCAGTATTCTTGGGCTTCCTATGTGACTCAGCTGATAAAGAACTCACCTGCAATGTGGGAGAACTGAGTTTGATCCCTGGGTTGGGCAGATCCCCTGGAGGAGTGACCAGCTTACCCACTCCAGTATTCTGGCCTGGAGAATTCCATGAACTGTATAGTCCATGGGGTTGCAAAGAACTGGACACAACTGAGAGACTTTCACTTCACTTCACTTCAAAGAGACATTAAGTCCCTGCCTCCTTCTCTAGCCTCACCCTGTACAAGTTCCCTCTCTTCTTTGAGCTCTATGACAGGAGTCTAACATGCACCTTGTTATCTCCAAGCCTTTACATATATTCTGTTCTCTTTGCATGGTACTCCTACTCTTATTCTTCCAATGAATTTCCATTCACCCTTCAAGACTTTAAATATTTTATTCTCAAGTAAGTCATCCAAGGGCTTCCCAGGTGGCACTAGTGGTAAAGAACACCCCCCCCCCACCGCCAATGCAGGGAACATAATTCCCTGGGTCAGGAAGATCCTTGGGTTGGGAAAATCCCTTGGAGGAGGGCATGGCAACCCTTTCCAGTATTCTTGCATGGCAAAACCCATGGAAGAGGAGCCTGGCAGGATACAGTCCACTGGATCGAAAAGAGTCATACATGACTGAAGTGACTTAGCATGCAGGCAAGGCTTCCAAAGCCCCTCTCTCCAACCTAGATCAATTCCTAATACACACTCACAGCAGTATATATATACTTCCTTATGGTGCTTTGCAAATGTGTAATTATTTGTTTGGCTGTGCAGGGTCTTAGTTGCGGCTCATGGAATCTTTGCTCTTCATTGCGACATGTGGGATCTAGTTCCCCGACCAGGGACCGAACCAGGGTCCCCTGCATTGGGAGCGCAGAGTCTTAGCCACCAGACTGCCAGGGAAGTCCACAAATGTGTAATTAATAGTGAATTGTGTAATAAGTTATTTGCTGTATCCCCATTGCCTGGTACATAGTTGACGCTCAGTATGGTTTGTTAACTAAATGAAGACTAAGCATTTTGCAATGCTTGGTAAAGTAAGCTAGAAAATTACTCAATTTTAAGAGGAAAGATTAAAGTCGATGCTACAGGAATATTGGAATTTGATATGGT